AACATAGTTCATTTGCGAAAGGTAGTAACGGTATATGTTCTAACAGAATGTCTGGTACAATTTTAAAACTTTTATTGAGCAAAATAGACAACGTACATTTTTCGTTATATATTCCAATGTCATCAAATTCTTATTTACTTCTTAATTGTGTGCAGAAGCTTGTACGGATATTCCGTATGAATTAAGTAGATATTCTTGGTATATAGATCTTTCTTTTAATATTTTATATATTGAACTAATTTCTCATAAAAATATATCTTATCTCAAGCGCGTCATATGAGTGACACGTTATGCAGTGCATATATTATATTGTAATATAATTAATTTATTAGTTTACATAGACAGTCTATTCGTAAAAACGAAGAATGTTTGACAATAACGATAACTTTATGTTAGAGAATTAATAAAGAAATTCATGAGATTCCACGGCGAATCTTCCTGGTCAAGTAATCAGAAATATACCAAAACAAGCAGATTGCTCTGATGTTGTGAATAGTATCATGGGTTATATTTATATCAAGCAATGCGATGCATGCGAGAACAATTGTAAATACATTGTCGAAAATATAATTGGATGTTTTCATTCCATCTGTCCGGGGTGTTCACCGTGAAACTTCACGAAATTTCTACATCCTATAATCAATATCCACACAGATATCGCAATCTGCACTCAGTGTTACAAGCATTAATTAAATTCTTATCTTCCGTTATCCATTTTAGCACTGCCTACGCTTCAGCACGATTTTGCCGTTCAGGTCTGTGAAGAAGCATCCCGTATGGCTTATGTATTTAAATTGCACGATAAAATGTGGTATTAAAGAAAGAAAAATGAAATTATCGAAGAGGAGGGAAAGTATGACGAGCATATGTTAAAAAATAGCAGGAAGACCTTGTTCCATACAAATATTATGTTACACTGTACATGCTCTATACAATTTTACAGCAACACGCGAGTTCAGCTTGCCATATTATACACGCTGATAACTATTCACAACCGAATGAGGAGACAGGTCGAAAGCTTAATTAATAAAGTAACAGAAAATGTCGAATATTATTTTACATGCCCCAGATTCACCTTCAATTCTCAATTATAAAAGAAACTTTTCATTTATAATCGACTTGTCCATAAAGAAACTGATAATTCTCAATATATCGATTCTTCTCATCTTCTTCAATTAAAATTCATCTGAATATAATTTATCGTCTTCAAATTTATCTTATTTTTTAATTTATGCAAAAATTCTTATCTTTTCCTTTCTTCCCCTTTTTGTAAAGCAAGTGCTTAGAGACATTTACGTTCAACAGCAGAAAATAGGAGCAGTTGACGCGTTTTTTGTATTCTAATTGTGCCATATTTTTATACACTGCAATATTTACGTATAGACTTAAGTGCGGCGAATTTCTGTGATACTTTGTATAATTTTTTTTATAAATATATCAAAGGATTAAAGTCTTAGCGATATATCTCTTACGCTTCCTGTCTGATAAATAAATATTACTTATATACCCAATACCCATATATTCTTATTATCTCACTGGTACGGCCGGCATTTTTTCAAGGAAGTCCTGTTCGATTACAGTCTCCAGTTGCGTGTTATTTATCGGTACATAAGTGTCGCACGTAGCACGACTAAGACTCGAAAAGAAATGATGCAGATCTTGTAAAGAGCGAACATTATTTGACGTCAATAGAAGTTCTCCCGGATTCCTTTTGGGTAGTGGACCTTCTGGCTTGAACTACAAGATAAGAAAGAAATTAATAAAAATTTTCTTATTAAGAAGAAAATAAGGAAAGAAAATTTTTTATTTGATATATAATAAAATATGACAAAAATATGCAAAGAAACGAAAAATCGCATTTGCTGAATGTTGCACAATACTCGACTTGAGAGCGCGTCTTGGCTTAGTTGCAAAAAACGAATGTATACATGTCATTTCTTACGGTACTAAAATAAAATAAGTGTTTCAGTATCGTTAACGGAGCGTGTACATCAAGTTCCTGTGATTTTCGTTCTCGTAACAAAGATATGTATTATATGATATCTGAATAACTGTTAATCAAAATTTTAATTGCATCTCAAAAAATAATTAAAATATACTAGTAACAAAAGTTGGATTAAGTGGAATTTTAACACAGCAATAGCAATGTCTTTAAGTGGAACTGATATAAAAGCAGAGTCACAATGATAATTGAGACTATTCGTACAGTTTAATCCTAACAGTGCACATCAAGTTCGGAGATTCGTGCAAAAAAAATCATAACGATGGCCTGGCTGAAAATCTTATTTTACAGTTTATGTACTATAATAGTTGTTATTGCACGTAAGTATTAAAAATGATATGATCGTTTAAACGATACGATTTTTTCATTTTTTTAAAACTCTTTATATAAATATGCTATAAATATATGCTTTCTCTCAATTCTTTTGATTTTTCCTTTGTACATTTTCTTCTACAGAAATGTTTATAATTTAAAAGAAAACGTCGATAACTTTATAAAAGAAAAACTAATTCAAGATTGATCAAAGAAAATTTTAAAAAATTTAAAGAAACTATTTAATATGGAATAATTCATATATTTATGCATAAATATTATTTATAAACATTTATGAAAACAAATGCTTATCTTTATTTATGATAATCGTATTCTGCATGCTCTAAATGGTTTTAATGTAAGTTAATTGATGCTAACTAGTGAATATTAATGAACAGATGGTTGGAATAGAACAGTCTTTCCTATGAATGAATTTAATTAATTTAATTTCCTTTTATTTAAAAGAAATTTTGTTCACTTAATTTAAAAACATAAATTTTTGTCAAATTTATGTTTTTAAGTTAAATAAAAAAATAACAAAAAAAAGTAAAAATATGTAATATTATTAGAAAACTCAAAGTTCATAAAATATCGGTATAATATTCCATTATTCTTTTCTATCTTCTTACGCATTTAATCAAATAGATAATTAATTTTATCTATATTTTATTGATGCGCGTATTTAATTAATAAATATTGCAATAATTTCACTATTGTATTTTTCACAGAATATACAGACGACTCCGAGTACGATTTTGATTTTTACAAAGATTTATCGACGGATCGCTCGAAAAATTTCGATAATGAATACAATGATGCGCAAGATAATTTTTACATTGCAAACGGTTTCGATGACACAGAAAATCAAGATGGCTCATATTCCGATTCAAATTTTGCCTTAGAGAACAGCATCAGTTCCTTTAAAAAGGATCCCCACGATAAGCAGTTTGATTGGTACAAATTGCCCAAGAAAGTTTACAGTTATACCAAATACCGAATTCCCGGGTACGACTATGACGAATTCGATTACATGCGTTCTAGAGATATTTCGGAGTGCGACGATAAATCAGTGTGGACGCATTGTCTATGCCAATTTACGTGCTCGAAACCAGACGTTGTAGACTGCTACACTCCATGTAGAAGCGGATGCGAATGCAAGGAGGAGTATGTTTTCGACGAGAAAGCACAGAGATGTCTATTACCCGAAGAATGTTCGGAAGAAGACAATTATAATTACTAGACATAATGTCAACATGTATGTTATCATCTTCGCGCGCTCTTTATCAACAATCTTCGTGAAACCACTCTTTTTCGCGTTCGTGGGAATCAATTGATAGCAATTTATTGTTTTTCTCACTGAATTTTATGAAAATAAGATTGATCTCGGTAGCTCACCTTACTGTCCATCAATTTCGCTATTCTCGTAATATGCGGTACAAAATCCGAAGATAAATTATTGTTATCCATGCAGCCTGCCGCTGCGTCTCCGACGAACGCCCATTTATACCTGTAAACGAGCGAAGCGATATAAATTATCTCGTAATGAAGCGTATGTTATTATAAAATCTTCTTCTCTCCGCTTACATTTGGAACTGCGGCAATCTGTGCGCAGGCAACAACAACGCGAGGTCTAACAACTTGGCGGCAGCCAACTGCAGTTGCAACCAGTGAGGATGTCCGTGTGCCTGAAGTCCATTACTGGCGTTAACGGCCCACGACGAATCCAAGGCCGACAGCAGTTTTATGTGCGAGCTGTATGAACAGGAACGCAGATGCTATGTTATTTAGATTGCCGGTGAGCTCACAGATGACAGAAATGCGAAATTCAATTTCATGGACCACAATTCTGTTCGCTTAAACAATATGCAATCTCCCTTGAGCAGAGCTCAATCAACAATAAGGTACAAAATTGTTATTAGTAATACCCTCTGACATTCGACATGCTCGAACAGTGATGTAAAATTTCATTTGAATAATTGTTAATTAAATATTTTTTTACAGCAAGTATTTGTATTTATCTGTTTTAAAGTATATTTTATATTTTATATTTTTCACTCGAAATATCAAGTTTGTATAATATAAAAAACCTATATAAATGGTTTCATGCGTGTTGTGATTTTATATTTCAAAGTACAAAAATTAAAGTATCTTATACATCACTGTATTCGAGTGTCCTTACAACATTAACAATATGCGTACGCGTGCGATATGTACGTTGAATATGCATTGGACCATTGAGTTACCTGCTATGACGACTGCCGTCCCAACACCATTCAAGTTACGGAGGCACCACAAATCCCATCAAATCGCGAAGATGCCGAAACAGAGTCAAAAACAGTACGATATTAGATAGTATCCATGTTAGTTGAGGAGGACATACACAGACAAATATTCTGCCAATACGCTATTTCACATCTTCGATAGATATAACACCTCGAGAAATAAATTTTGTATATGAAACAACATTTTTCATCATTTACATTTCGAGCATTTTGAAAACGATAGCAATTATCATATTTGACCACCATTATTCATGCTAATATACTAATAATACACTTATAAAATGTGATTTTTATTAGAGCATTCATTTCTTTCACGATCGATTTTTAAAAATCAGCATGTAACAATTTTGAAAGAAGATAAAAAAAAGAAATAATCATAATGCTTCAAGTGATCAATCGCGTATTGTAAGTAAACATATATCATGCACATACGAAGCAATAGCATCCCATAAGCGAGTTTGCTCAGTAAACACATGGATCAGAAAAACTCGCATACCTGAACTCTTCACTATCCGTGCTTAATTCCTGCTCGATGTAAAGAAAAACTTGAACAAGCTCGCTAACTATTACTGGCCATAAGGATGTAGCGTGTTGCGGCGACATTCTCAATAGCAGTACGCGAAAACAGAGAAACACTTGCGCTTGAATAGATGGGATTACTTGAGGTAGGCGTAAACTATCTGCTAAACGTTCTGAAAACAGAGTAACCAATGTGTGAAAATACTCATACATTCTATAAATATATCCCACGAATATTTGTATGCGAATATACCTTGTATTTCTGGCATGTATTTGTGATATTGATCCATCTCGCTGCAAAGGATAACAAATGCCAATCGTTTCAAGAGTTGCGCTTTCTGCTCATACTCCTGTTCCTTTGAAGAAAATATACTGATCCCACTGCCTTGAGCCATGGAGACACGATCTATTTCACGAGATAATCATAATGTATTTCTGTTATTCCAATAGATGTACTGTATAGATATACTGTGTAGTATAATATGTATTACTCATTAAATCTCTGAATGTAGTATTGTCATGCGTCATCAGATTATCTATTATGGTTCTCCAATATGGTAGACAAGCAGGTATCATTTGGAAAAAGGCTGGATCGAGTAACAAATCTAGAACATCTTTGCGCCAAGCCTTTCTCGTGTACTGATATCCCGACAAGGAAGCCAATAATTGAGAACAAGCAGTGAATGAGGCGATATTTTTTATTCTGTAAAGTAAGATAAAGTAGGCAAGATTTTCGAATAATGTCCTTTCTCATCCAAATTTCAGAAAAAAGTCTGAATAAAATTTCTATATAGTTGAAGAACACAGTCAATTCCTAAACTTACGTGTGATTCTTTAGATAAGGTGTAACGTTGTACATGAGATTTGTCAATAGCGTTACCACGCGTTCCTTCTCTTGCGAACCGTAACTGACGTCCAATAATGGCGCAAGTATTTCTGCTAATACCGCTTGAGCTTGAACGCTGTATGCCGCGTTAGGTGGGGTTCCAGGTGTTACTGCAACGCAAAGTTTTCAATAATTACGAACATACTGCGAAAGAAGCATAGAGCTATTTGCAATTGGCAAAGACTGCATAATAAAAAAAAAAAAAAAAAATAAAGCGTAGAATAAATAAAATACAAGTAATTT